TCAAAGTGACATTTTCGAAAAAGTAAATCAGCAGAAATACTCAGAATTCGATGCTGATTCCAAATATGTAAGTTTTATTGTGATTTGGTTTGGTCGGGATGATCGGCTTATCGGCCCTCCTCCTTTGTAAATACTTGGATGATCATCAACGACATTCTACAACAAAAAACTATCAACAGTACTCCACAAAAAAAATGGTTGCCTTAGAGGTTCTGTTGATCATTTTCTGAAGTTTTAATGATTTAGCGTTTGTTTTCCAAACCCCTTGAAGATTCGTAATCGAAAAAGTTTTGTGTTCAACGAAATCAGACAAAGATTCTTATTTAATTTGGGAAATCTAAGAAGGTTTAGTAAATAAATACAAAACCTCTTTAGACATGTACTAAATTTGTTTGAACTTTGCTGAGCAACATTTATTTTATTTTTCGCTGACAATAGGCGCATCGCTGTTCATGTACATAGTTGTTATCTATTGCTCTTACCATGCGGATTTCTTACATTTCCTTTCGTTTAGTTGAGATCAGCTTTCCTATGTTTCTAACAGATGGACTGAATAAAATGAAAAAAACGAAGAAACAAAACATTAAATAAAAAATAAGTAAGAGAGAGGGGGTGAAACATGTTGTGAAATTAGTATCTCTCTATCTGTTAAATCGTAAGCCATCCTCAAGAAATCTAACGATTGTACGGTGCATAATCCAATAGTGATCGCTCTCAGAAACGCAGATTTTCGGTCAAAAAAATTGCTTTTGAGATAAGCGCATGGGAAGAGAGCTTGAAGCGTCTAGCCTCAGAATCCATATCGCTTTTGGTTATATAAGTGATTTTTCGCGGCTTTCGAGTAACTTTTTAGGAGTCCCGAAAATCTGATCTTCAAATAATAGCTTTTTCCTGGATACTGCTGAAATTAAATCTTTTTCTGAATGCATAGATTGTAGAGCAAACTTTTCTGATCAAAATAAGACCTCGCACACTTTGGTGTGGCCCTGCATCAAAAAGTTTAATTTATTAATTTATCCGTGGATTTCTATTAAACTAGAAAGCTTTAAAAAGTTGCTAAAATATTCAAAAGTTAAGGCTAAATTCAAGTTTTGACGTAATTAGATAGAGTATGTTCACACACTGTTCATGTTTAGATCTGATAAATTAATTGTATACATATTTTATATTTTCTCGTATGAAAAAATGTCAGCTCAGCAGCAGCAACGAGTATTACGCATTTTGATACACATGTGTACAGATATTGCACAACTCTTTCACATTTTACCGTAGCTTCTCCAACAACATCGACTGGAAGATGATAGACAAATATTATTAATCTTACTATCCCAATGTGAACAAGTTGTAAGTTTACTCCCGTTATTGCCAAGGTTATCGAATTATCAGTTGATGATACCCGTAGATCGGCTTGAAAGAACTTCTATTCGTATTGATATGCCGAATTAACAGCTACTCCTCGGCGATTTTGTTCGTTAACCGGGATACCGATAGACGACTTTAATGATATTTATCGCTGTTTTACAAGCAGTTTGAATTGAAAACTCGCCATTTTTTGTCAAAAAATGCACAGTTCTCATTTCAACGTCAACGTTCTCTTGCTATTATTAATCTGACTGCATCATTACTCTACCTATAATTTGCTCAGTTGATGATACCCGTATAATGAGAGTTTTATTGCCAGTTCAACGCTAGAGAGCCAGTTCAAACGCCATTCCGAACAGCAAATATTTTTGGATTAAACTATATATAAAACGAACTGGTACAAAAGACTGCTCAAGTTTAAGAAAAACATTCTGTTCTGTCGTCTTAAAGTATTGTGTTTGCGGCTCATCAAAAACGACATTAAAAGTTTGTAAAATCTAGCACTATTATTGCATCGGTCATACTTGTAGGCTCTAAAATGCAAAGGATTAATTATCTGATAGTAGTGTGATTCTTACTATAAAAGCTCATTGATTAGAGTTATTATACTAAAGTATCGTTACCATCCATTAACTGGGATCAAAATTGAAAACTGAATTTGTTTAACATTTGGCTTTATTTTAAACTAGACGGTTAATTGCGCTGGCTGGTGGGAACACTTTTTTGGTTTAGGTCTTTGTTCGTTTTCTGGCGATCCAAGGTCCTCAAAGATCCGAAAGCACCTTTTAGGTTTTCCAGAGATCCTTGATTTTCTAGAAAACTGAGGCCTATACGATGCGTGATTCTCGAAAGCATTGTCAGTCACTTTTTCGCCAAATAAGGGTATTAAAAAAAATAAACAAAATTTCTCCACAGAAACACTAAATGTCTATCGACATAAATCCAAAAAACATTCGAAAGTCAAAATAAACATTAAAAGAATCGCGAGATTAGGAAAAGCAGTCAGATGCCTTTTGACTGCAATAAAAACTCACATGAATAAAAACAAAAAAGCTATACAGAAATAAAATTATTAACATCCGTTCATTAAAACGGTGAGTGTATTGTCAATAGCATTTCCAATGGCCAAATCCATTTTCGAATCTCCGTTAAAATCTCCAAATGCGACACTAGTTGGACCCGATCCAGTTCTGTACTGTACTTGGGTCTGAAAGGTACCATCACCGTTGCCGAGGAGAATGCTGACTGAATTGTTGCTAAAGTTTGGCAAAGCTAGATCGAGTTTTGAATCGTTATTGAAATCACCGACTGTGACACTATACGGATTTATTCCAGTTGTGTAGTCTACGTGGCTGTTGAAGGTGCCGTCACCATTGCCGAGAAGAATGCTGACAGTATCGTTACTTTGGTTTGTAACAACCAAATCCTGTTTCGAATCTCCATTGAAATCAGCGACTGCGACGCCATGTGGACCTCTTTCAGTCCCATACGTCGTCTGGTTGCTGAAGATACCGTGGCCGTTGCCGAAGCGAACGCTGAACGAATTGTTATCAAAGTTTGTAACGACATAATCCAATTTCAAATCGCCATTGAAATCACCGACTGCGACACTGAGAACTCGTAATAATCCAGTAGCGTACGTCCCTTGACTATTGAAG